GGCTGTTCGCTTGCTGGGTCTGCAGACTCAGGCACCCAGTCCCTAGAACATACAGCGCTGTGGTTGTGAGGCATCTGGCCCAAGATACTGTGAGTTATTTCTAAATTAGGTTTCTGAAGGTTTGGGGGTTTTTTTTGTTTGTTTGTTTCTGGGATTTTTTTGTTTTCTGTTTTTTTGTTTGCATTTGTTTTCCCTCAGCAGTTAAAACGATTCTCAACACAAAGGCTTTAGATGCAGCACAAACTTGTTTTCTTTCCCTTTCCTGCCCTATTTAAACTCTTTAAGAGAAGCCTTGTCTTTTCAGCCCAGACGAAAGAAGTATTCACAGCCCATGTGAGGACTTTGGGCAGGCAGCTACCTGATGTGAAAACCCGTTTGAAAGAAAGGTTAATGTTCCCAGCCATTTACACCACTTACTATTTTCAGTAGGGATTATGGTTGCTTTATGGAGCCATTTACCCTCCACATCTGCCTCCTTATCTTCAAATGTTCCCCTTCCGGCCTGGTGGGGTGGCATGCCTAGAATACCAGCACTCAGGATGCTGAGTCAGGAGGATCCCTGAGAGTTCAAGACCAGTCTGGGCTACATAGTTCAAGCCAGGCTGAACTAAGAAGTTAGACCCTGTCTCCAAAAAAAACAAACAAACAAAAAAAGTTCCCTTCCTATAAGCCGTACAATTGTTGGAAAGACAGAATTCAAACCTACGATCCTCCAACTCAAGGACACTTTCTACAATAAATGCAATAAATAAAAGGCAGCGTAGAGATCATACTTAGTGTATGTATCTACAGAAAGGCATATACATCTGTAACAAGATTAACCATACTTATAATTGTGGTTTGATACTAAGATGTATGCAAACGTTAGGTATAGAAAATTATTTACACACATTCTGAATCTTAATTTGTGTATATTTATGAGGTGATAGAGTAATTGATGCTAACTTGCATTTAATGGTTCATAACGAGAACCGGCTGTTTGATTTTGCTTTGCTCTCACGAGTTTGTTGGAAATGAGAAAAAGTATCATAGGGGTCTTTTAAAATATGGAGGGAATTGTTCCTAAAAACGAAGGCCAGAAGGCTCATGTCCTCTCTATAGCACAGGAGCACAGGATCAGGAAGAGGGCAAGGGAGGGCTGCCCCTGCCCAAACAGCCAGCAACTGCAAAGAAGTCCTTATTCCCAGCACTCTCATCTGGAGCCATATTCACAGTTTCTACTCACTGTGGCATTACTAATTCCTGAAAGTTCTTTGGCTTTCAATTTACCTATGTTCTCAGAAGTAAAGGGTTAATCTTGAGACGAGCCAGAGTTCAATAGCTATAATTGTATTACTGACTTCCTGTTTAGTCTGGAGCAAATCTTATTTCTGCCTTACAAAAGAAAATGCACTTATTATAATTATTATTATAATCTGTTTCACAGAAGAATTCTGTGAATTTAATGCTTAGTCATTTTAAAGCCCATGATAAAAAAAAATGCTGTGTAAATCTGAATTTACCATTTCTCAGAAAGAAATCTGGAGCCAGTTGAGGTCATCGTGGTTTTCCACCAGATGGAAATCAGGTGCTTCTGACAAGGTGTACCTTTTTAAGAATCACGCATTATGTAAAATAGCAATAGTATCTGTAAAGTCCTTCACAGTTCCCAAAGCATTTTTTCATACATGATGTGGGCCACTGATTTGCTTTGCTAAACCTGTGAGAACCAAGGAGAAAATAATTTCTTAGCCTCATTTATAAAACATCTTGCAGAACCCTCTGGCAGGATAAAATCAAGGAGTTTCCTGCCATTCCCAAAGCTGATTTAACCATGTAGTTAAAGGCTGATGTGGAAATGACTTACTAGATTGCATACTACATTTCACCTGGTGTTTCTTCCATCTTCTGCCTTTCTTGCTCTTGTTTCTGAGGAAGAAATGGCATTATTATTCCTCACTTGAGCTCTCTATCCTATTCTCATTTTGCTTTTCCTGAATTTTTACTCATCAGTTAATCCCTTGTCTAATTTGCATTTTCTCTTTCCTTTTATTGCTATATTCTAGCGGGAGGAGAAAAACAGTAAACAAGATAATACCACACTCCGGGAAGTCTTGAGTGGGAAATACAGTAAGTTCATGTGCGGGCACTGGGGGTTGAGGAGAGAACTATTCAGAAATGAGTACCTTCTAGAGAGGTGTAGACAACTGAGCAGAAATCTAAGGATAAGAACAGAGATAAGAAGGTAAAAAGCTGGGACAGCATATTTTAGACAAAGTGAGGTACCTACAAATGCCCTCATGCAAGAACAAGAGTGGCATGATCAGGGCTGGGGATTTAGCTCAGTGACAGCTTGCCTGCCTTGCAAGGTCTGAGCTCGATCCTCGGTACCACAAAAAAAAAAAAAAGTCATGATCAAGGAACAAAAGGGACAGGTGAGAATTTGTCTCTATTCCTGGGTTCGAGGGCATGGCTAGACACTAGCGGCCATAGTGTAATGTAAGAGAGGAAAAGTGATATAGAGTTTGGTCAAAAATGTAGGTCAGGTTGTGCAGGATTTGTCATCTCAGACAGTGTTGTGTGATGTTTTTATCCTGTCTGTATTTTTTTGTGTTGCTATAACTAAATCCCTGAGGCTGCATCCTTCATAAGAAAAATGTTTATTTAGCTCAGAAGTTCTGCAGGTCCAAGAGCATGGTGCTGGCATCAGCTACGGGGAGAGCCTTGTGGTAGTATTATATGGCAGGAGCCCTGTGTGAGAGAGAAGTCACATGGTTAGAGAGGAAGCAGAAGACTGAAGAAGGACCAGTCTCCCACTTTTTCTCTTTTATAACAACTTGCTTTCTTGAGGAACTAATGTGAACTAATGTATTCCTAAGTCATGAATAGGCACCTCCATCCTAGGCACCTCCCATTAGGCCCTACCTCTTAAAGGACCCACCACATTGCATCACTCACACTGGGGACTAAACTTTCAGTGCATGAACCTTTGGGGAACAAACAATATCCAAACCAGCCATAGCATATCTTAAGTTCAGAAAATCCATGAAAGTGTTTTCAACAGGAAAGGGACATGACTGGATTTCTTTTTTAAAGGTCACTCTGCTTACCTGGGGAAAATCGACAAGAAAAAATGGAACTCCTAAAAAAAGTAGAATCTCTTTTTTTTTTCTTCTTCTTCTTCTGGTACTGAAGATGGAACTCAGGACCTTGCACTTGCAAGGCAGGAACAGTGCCACTGAGCTAAATCCCTGGCCCCAGCGTCTGTGTTCTTTAAGAGGTAGCTTGTTAGCCCAACAGTCTTCTGAAAGAGTTTTCTAAAAATATCACCAATGCATTTGTTCAGCATTTATTATTGAGCACCTACAACATTATAGGCAGTCTTTGTAAGACAAAAATATCTGTTCACAGCCAGGCATGGTGGAATGCACCTGTAATCCCCACACTTCGGGAGGCTGATGCAGGAGGATCGTAGATTAAGCCCAGCCTGAGCCACATAGTGCCTTAGCAACACCCTCTCTCAAAAATAAAAAGGATTGGGGATGTGGCTCAGTGCAAAGGCCCTGGGTCCAAGTCACAGTACCAAAAATGAGAACAAGAGCACACACAAACTACCCTCGTGCAGCTGACATTTTAAGATTGGCCAGTTCCAAAGATTTTTCTCAGTGTACATGTCCTTCACCTCCAGTGGACTACTTTCTCCTTCATCAAATTCTCCTCTTTCGAACTCCAAGACTCTAGAACCCTGGGTTTCTTCCTGCCTCACTTACTAGTTATCCTTTGGGACCTCAGTTAACCCTTCTTCCGTCTTTTAAATGTAAGTTGTCTTGGGGCCGGGGATTTGGCTCAATGGTTCTGCCGCCTGCCTCACAAGCAAATAGGACCTGAGTTTGATCCCCAGAACCAAAATAAATAAATAAATACAAGGTGTCTAGATAATGTGTTTTTCAAAATTCCAACGAAACATTCATTGAACACCTTCTGTGTGCAAGACCAGCATATACAAAATTAATGAATTCTCCTGCTCCCGTAGCTTCCATTACCATCACCAAGTAGATGATTGCAAATCTGTCTCCAGTTTCAAGTCCTCATCTGATCACTTTGCTTTCATCCCCAGCTGTTTTTTAAATACATTCAACTGGACATCTTACAAGCATTTCGTACTTGAACACTTACAATTTATCATCCCATTTAACCAATCCAAGTCTTGACTTCTCTATTTTTGTGAATGAATCCAGGCTTTTAGTTGACTTCAAAATTGTATAATCAATTTTGATTCCTCTTTCTTACTTCCATATTCAAGTTACCATGTTCTTTAGATTCTAGACCTGTTTTATTCTTTTCCTGTTCTCCATTCTCATTCCATATTAAAAAAAAAAA